AGCTCCTGTCCAAGCTCCGCTCCAAGCTCCGATTGCTGTCCAAGCTCCGCTCCAAGCTTTAATCCGCTGTCCAAGCTCCTCTCCACGTTCCTATTGCTGTCCAAGCTCCGCTCCAAGTTCCAATTGCTGTCCAAGCTACTCCGGAGGGTGGATTTGCTGTCCAAAGCACTCCGGACAGCAGTTTTCAGCGTTTGACAGCTCTCGGAAGCTGTATGGCTGCTGTTTACACGCTCCAAACAGCAGATTTTACAGCAAGTTTTGCTGTTCGATAGTCTCCCGAAGCTGATTTCGTCGTCGAGAAGTCGCCGGAGTTGAAAGAGAAGGGAGGAGAAGCCTTCCTTTGCTGTTTGGAAGATTTAGAAGCCCTCCCTTGCTGTTTGGAAGTCTCCAACAGCTTCCGACTCGTCTCGAGGTCGCCGGAGACGAAGAAGGAAGAGAGTAGAAGGCTTCCTGAAGCTTGAGATCTCGGAAGCTCTGGCGGATGAGAGGGACGGAGCTCCTGGTTGGCCCGGCCGACCGTCCAGGTGGAGTCGGAATGGGGTTCCGCACGCGAGAGGGAGGCTGATCGGGACTGCCGCACGCGAGAGGGGGGCCGGTCGGGACTTCCGCACGCGAGAGGGAGGCCGGTCGGGGCTTCCGCTTGGTGGAGTCGCACGAAGGAGAGGATTCGCCTGGTGGAGTCACACGAAGCTGGGAGCTCTCCGCCTCTGACTTTCTCGCTCGCTCTCTCTATGTGTCGGGACGGGCGAAGGAAAGAACAGGGGAGCCGAATGAGCTCTCCATTGCTTCTCCCGCTGCTTTGTTCTGCTCTGGCTTCGGACGGACAACCCAAGGGAGCCTATGAGGATGTCTCGTTGCTTGAAACGAGGGGAATGTACTTGAGTACATTGAACCCAAATTTTGGGTGAGAAATGAAACAAAATCTCAGCCCCAGGTTTCGATTTTCTGATTTGGGAAGTAGATTGAGCCCAAATCAGCCAATTGGGGCTGAAATCGACTTCGAATTGAACCCAACTTGGATCGATTTGGGTCGATTTGGGTCCGATCGAGTTAATTCTGTGAAATTGAACTCGAATTAGCGCCGAAATGTGTCGAACTTGGCTCGACGAGGCTCGATTGGGTTTTAATTGATTTGATTTAATTTTAATTTAATTAAATTGATTTAATTTAATTAAATTGGAGTTTAATTTGAGTCGATTTTGTCTCGACGTCGATCGATCGAGTCGATCGAGCATGATCGAGACTAGTCAGGCTCGATCGGGGTCGGGTTGGTTCGAAATATTCGTCAACAATGACTTCTATAGTAGACCTACCCGGCATGAATCCAAATTAATTTTGAGAAACATTAGTATAACGTCACAACCTACGCTCTATAACTCGCTACCATAGTTTTAAAGTATGACACATTAACTTAATTCCTCTATAATTCACACAATCTTATGCATCACCTTTATTCTTGAAATAAGAATTAACACACTCATTCTCCACTAATCTGACATCAAAACAGTATTAAAAAGTTTAGCAAGCCAAGAAATTCATTCATCTCCTAAGCATTTCCACACTTCTATTGGAATATCATCAAGTCCAACAACTTTGTCACCCTTCATTTTCTTTAAAGCCTCTATAACTTTGGTTTTACTAATATGCCGATAAAAACAGAAATTTTTATTTTCATTTAGAGTGCTAAGGTCACTAAAGTTAATCGTATTTTCTCATTCTTCATTAAAAATTTTAGCAAAAAATATCCACTTTTGTTGAATATCATATTACAAGAAAAGTACTTTTTGATCTTCATCCTTAATACACTTCACTTGAACTAAAGTTAGGGACTTAAATATACGTGAATCATCACCATGAAGGATGTGAAAATATATAGCCAAAAAAGAAATTAGGTTTAAGGTATATTGAACCATTTGGGGTAATAAATAGAATTGAATAATCTACTTATCATTTACTATTATTGGATCACATGTCTAATATTCACGATGTATCTCAAATTTCTTTTGAGAAAAAGGGATTTTATGCTGGAATAAAAATTTCTTAAAATGAAATAAAAGTACAGCCTACTCATATCTACCGAGAACTTGATCGTATTATGGCTTATGATGTTAAACATTTGAAAAATAAATGAATTCTAATAGCAAAAGTATAGTAGAGACACAAAATCAAATAAAGAAGCAACTTAGAAGAAAGAATTTGAGAAGGAGACAATTTTGTCCTAATCTATTCTAACTAATATTTATATTGAAATGTCAATGAAAACATTCTTTTAAGGGAGATTATAAGGACGGATGTAGCAGTGATTAGAGAACTTGTGATAACTTGAACTGAACATATAGGCATGAATCCAAATTAATTTTGAGAAACATTAGTATAACGCTACAACCTACGCTCCATAACTCGCTACCATAGTTTTAAAGTATGACACATTAACTTAATTCCTCTATAATTCACACAATCTTGTGCATCACCTTTATTCTTGAAATAGGAATTAACACACTCATTCTCCACTAATCTGACATCAAAACAGTGATTTTTCAGAAGTGCAATAATGAGTCTAGTCAAAAGTTATAATAAAAGAGTTTGTAATTTTTTTTTCTTGAGCCAGTTTATATTGGGTGTATGTTGGCAAGCACACACACAAATGGGGGTGACAAAATTGAACACTCGATTTTTTTTCTGTTAGATTGTACTATATGATCTAAATCATATAATATGAAAAGCTATTTAAAATCATATAATATGAAAAGCTATTTAAAAAATTAAATCGAAGGTTTAATTAAATTGAGTCTAGTCAAAAGTTATAATAAAAGAGTCAGTAATTTTTTTTTCTTGAGCCAGTTTATATTGGGTGTATGTTGGCAAGCACACACACAAATGGGGGTGACAAAATTGAACACTTGATTTTTTTCTGTTAGATTGTACTATATGATCTAAATCATATAATATGAAAAGCTATTTCAAAAATTAAATCGAAGGTTTAATTAAATTACTTTTCAGCATAATTAATCACATTGCATGACTTATAATAGGATAGAACAATCAAATATTTGGTTAAAATCCTTCCATTGAATATTGGTTATCAAAATTATGCAAATTAAAAATTTGAATTTTAACTTAATCATATCGTACAATTTCTTTCATACTATACGATCATTAATAAAGTTGTCTAATTTTGTCAGTTGATCAATTCTAATTAGGATCAAATCTTAATTAGACATCATACTGAATGATCCAAGTCGTACAGTCCGATTAAACAAAGATTTCATTGAACAAACTTTGGTTTGATATAACCATTCGTATTGTACAACCAAATTTTTTATAGTCCAATCTGAAATAGAAGTTGAACTAATCGAACAGTACAAACCTAGTATCATACTGCATGATCAGAGCTTTAAATTTAAAAATTAATGTTTCATTTAAATAGCCCAATTTAATTAATTTTAAAAAGAGTTTTGGAGAAATTCTCAATGCAAGTTTCTATGAGAGAACCTTTAGGGAGAGAGAGGGTCTCCTTCTTGGGAAAAACTTGAGTGAAGTTTTGGGAGTGAAGGCGATGTTAACACATTTTTTGTGTCGACCCAACCCTAATCGAGCCTAAATTGATCCAAATCAGAACTAAATTAAGTCCCATTAAACTCGTTTTAATCCAATTAAAATCAAATCGATCAAGATTGACCCAAATCAAACTCAATTCATCCCCGTTGGGCCCGATTCGACGCAAATTGATGACGATTCAAGCTCAAATTCAAAGCAAATAAAAAAATAATATTATCTAATATTGGTCGGCCATATTAAGATTCCTAAATTAGTCGTCAAGGTGATTTTTCCTATACTTTTGATCGTCGTCCAACGGTTCAGATTCTCTACCTTCGATTTTGATTATCAAACATCATATGAATAATAATGTCACCTATGAGCTCTAATGTAGTGATCTTCAATCACAGTAGTGTGATATGAGAATAAACATCATTGGCAGTCTTTATCAATAGTTTGTTCTATCAAGACTTCAACCATTCGAATCTTTAATCTCTTTTTTATTTGACGCTCAACACATGATCATGAATTATCTAATTAATCATCCTATTGAATTGATTTGCAGACCAAATCTGGATAGATAACTCACAAAATATTAGATATTTATTAGATAACAACATGAATATTTGGCGGTATTTCTGATAGGATGATTTAGCAGCAAGGACAGAATGGAGAGATGCTTCAACAACAATTTGGCAATGTGGAGCCTAAGGATCCTAACATTTGACAACATAACTTTCAGCTAACAAAAAAAGTCCTACGGGGATACTTTTCTATTTTTCTCAAATAAACTAAGTTACATTCACCATTGTATAGCACGTTAAATTAATAAGATTGGACACACGCGACCTCATTTACCATGCAGAAAAGCAAACAGATCTCGCAAATAAAAAATAAATAAATAACTAATAAATAATAAAATTTAAGAATAAATAAATAACAGATTTAGCATAGAAATTGAAAATTACAAAGCATTGCAATTTTTTTTTTCAATTAACATGTGGGTATAGGACAACAAACCAGGAGAAAGATTCTTTTAAAACTAAATGACAGAAACAAAGAAAAGGAGAGCATACCTGAGATTTTGCTATTGTAAGAACCATCGGTAAAATCATAGGTTGCATAACCACGTTTCGAAGCTCTGCGCAAAGAGGTTGAAGCACCTGTATTACAAACATGAAACTAATGAACAAAGTTCTTCACCGATTCAATGAAAAAGGGTAAATATCTTCCCATTCAACAGGCTACTGGCAGATGAAATCAGAAGCTAATGTGCATAAAAAGGAAAGGTAGCAAGCTAAAATTCATATAACAGGATTGTAACATTCCAAAATTCAAAAGGTTAAAATCTGATGTAGGCAGGGGGAGGGGGGGTTCTCAAAACAAGTTGGGTTTTAAATTTTGATGAGCTTCTAAAATCAGCTCATTAATGAGCCTCTTCTACTTATTTAGCTCATTAATTGGTGGAATAAATTTACTTTCTAGCTCATAAAATTAAAAAGATATTCTCATTACTGTGGAGTGGACTTGTGTCTCTTCCCTTCCCCTTGTCTTTTCGATTTCTGCTGGCTGTTGCTGTTCCCGTAGCTCTCCCTCTCGGTTTTCCCCTCTTGGCTGCTTTTCCCCTGAAATGTTGCCTTGTCTCCTGTGCTGGCCCTTCGGGTCCCTTGCTGGCTAGCTTCCCGTGGCCTGCTGGTGGGTTTTCTGTAGATTGTTTCCCTATTTTTCTGTGCAGAATTTCTGCTAGCTGTTTGCTTTCTTTTGGTCTTTCATTTGGTGTCTTTTGGCCTTCTAGTTCCCATAATTTATTGGGTTAATTAGTGTGTGAAGTGACTGTTTGGCTACCATCTTTTATCCTATATATATATATGTGATGTTTAGGAGTTTTTAAGAGAGTGTTATGTGCCAATTTTTGGAGTAAGAAAACCTGAGGGTTTTTTTCTTTGGGAATAGCTTACGAGCTATGTCCCCCATCCCTTCTCCTTATTATAGGAAAGCTTGAAGCTTCTCCTCCTTCGTCTCGGCTCCTTACCTCTTTTTTCTATCCGCAAGTGACCACCCCACATGTATCATTCTTCTCAAAGTGATGGAAATGCAATTTTAGTTTTTTTATTATATAAGTTTGTTTGAGTCGTTTGTAAGGGTCGTTTGTAAGGTGTCGTTTTATTTTATAAAAGTGAAGTTGTTTTGGTTATTTGTTGTATTTTGTATCCTTTTGAGTATTTTTGTCTCATTTTATTATCCTAAGAAGTCTAGTCATTGCTCGCAAAAATTTGGGATCCTTCCCAAATTTTTGCTCGCATCAAAATCCCAAAATTTACCTAGAATATTATATGCCACATGTTGCACATCCCAGAATTTATAGATAATATTTTTTATAAAATTCCATAATTTATAATCATCATATATGTAATGAAACTTAATTTCAATAAGGTGATAGAGTTATTATTTTCTATGAGTGTGTCCGAGTGTATATATAATATACACTTACACACATATAGGAAATAACAACTCTACCATCTTATTTAAATTAAATTAAATTTCAACCAAATTTCCTAAGTTAAAATTCTGAAGTTACCGTGCAATCCTTATGTTGATATTAACTTGATTAGTGACTGGTGCACTTGCATGATTGAGTTTTGTCAAGTGTGACGCGACCTATATTTCTTTTTTAAGCATAAATTTTAATTGTTGCCCAAATTTTATATTTGTTCTTAATTTTTTCTGTAAGATTTCTGATTTAGTATAAGGCTCTCAAATATATTTAAAATAATGTAAGCATCAACTTCCTCTAAATGTGAGCGTATTTTTATATACAGTTTACTTGAATTCCAAGCATTGTTTTTAAATTATGAAATTAATTGTTTAATTTATAAAAATATTACTATTTTTTCATTAAAGATGAATAATCTTTTGCTAGAATAGAGAGTTAGCAACCAAGGGATTATGGCTTTGTGGATATTCATTGTGGATATCATGCTCTTTCGCATTATCGCACACTAGGCACTCTGAGAATTCAACATCACTCTCATAATTAGAATGAAAAACTCCATATATAACAGCACGAAGAAATCCAAGGGAAAAAGTGGTGACAACAACAATGTTTGTTAAGAGGGTTTGATGGTTTATGACGTTTTATTAAGAAATTGATATTATGACATCAAACAGGCAGTAAGCTTGTGACCCCAATATTTATGTATTTTTAAACGTGCAAGTAGTATTGTCATAGAATAATAAGGCTTGCAAGGAAAAAAAGAAACTACAGATAAATGTAATTCAAAAGACAAAAGAGAATAATAAATAATAATTAGCATATATATATAAACTTTATTAGGAAGCATGGGAAAAGAAGCAAAGAGACTGCAAAGGTTATAAATACCCAGGGATGCGAAAAAACCTCAAGATGGATAGATATCACGAGGTCAATATCGCTTGTCATATCATCATATATGCTTGGCAAGCAAGCACGGGACATGTAAACAAGATACGGTATAAGAGCAACGCTAGCTGGACCAAGACAGTAACGAAGCCATGCATGCATCAAGATAGAGCACTTGGCATTACATAGAACAAAGATAAAATTAAAAACATTAACTTCAAAAAATTTAGCCAATTAGTACCTTGCATCGTAAAATGCGAGCGTCAAAATCTTTCCACATGTCTGATAATGCCTTCAAAAACTCTGTTTTTTGCATATTATCCCTTTCCTGCAGTATAAAAACATTTAATTAGGAATCCTAAATAAGCACTTCAAATCATTTCCACAATAGATTTGCTTGACAAGTTCTAACTTGAGCTCATAAAGACAGTCTTACAAGCATATGATCTAAAAAGCGAAGAGCACGTAACCTAGTGTCATCACGGAAAAAGGAAGAACCTGCAAAACAATGAAAACCCCTTGGATGAAAACAATTGTTAACAAATATTTTAAACCCTCGGAATCAAACTGCTTATGCTTTCTTTAAAAGAAAAAAAAAAAAAAAATAGGTTGCACCAAAAAAAAAAAGGTGAGATGCAAAAGAAAAATCATTTAATCATTTCTAAAAAAAGAAAAAAAAAAGATAGAAGAAACATGTAGACATCAAGGTTAAAAAATTTCAATACAAAGCTTCGATGAAACTTATGTTCAAAGATTAATTCCAAAAGGGTATTTGTATTTTTTTTTTAATTTATTTATTTATTATTATTATTTTTCAAAAGGGTATTTGTATGAAACTCCTTATTTTTATAAAAAAAAACTATGGTAGTCATGTTATGATCTTTAAAAAAACTATTAGGATATACATGCCAAAGTTTCGTCAAGTCGTTGCACATTCTCAGTCATCAACTCTAAGCTATTCTACATGAAAGGTACAATACAAAGTAAGCACACACCTCGGCTTAAGCACATGTATATGTCCTTCTTGAAACAACAGGGCAAGCCTATGTTGGTTGCATATTTTGCTCACATAGGTGACCCAAAATCTTAGTGTTAAATCTCAGCCCTCAATTCCCTCAAAGATCCAACGACTAAGAATAAAGATCCGTGGGAAGCCTTCTAGAAACACATTGAGTATCTTTCATAGCTAGACATTTTATTTAGGAAGGATTTTATTTCAACAATTATTAACTATTTTGTAGTCATTTGTTTCTTCATTAGACCTCTTGTATAGATCTATAAATAGGGAGTATATCGTATAATAAAGTAAAGCTTTTCCCTATCCAATCTTCCGAATTCAACATGGTATCAGAGCCAACGGCCTTCATTGCTATTGTAGAATGATCGTAGATCATCAGAGGAGGAAAAGAAGAAGAAATCAATGTCTTGCCTTGTCGCAAACGAAGCACCTGTCGACAGAAGGTTGCCGACCGACGTCGAAGAGGAGCCTTGCCAAGGACGGACGCCACAGAGAGAGCCCTTGCCGACGGAAGCTTGCCAACTGGAACTATTGATCCGACAGAAAGGGAAAGTCGAACAACAATGGAAGACACAGAAGCCCTAGCCGACTGGAACTTCTGATCCGACAGGAAGGAAAAGTCATCGAAGGAGCATAGTCAAACAACCACGAAGGAGCTGAAGAAGCAACGTGTGCCTACACTTCCTGCAAAGCAAGGAAGCCAAACAACAATGAAGGAAAAAACCCCGCTTGA